GTCTGTATGTTCATGTACTCTTGCTTACTCCCTGAACTTTCTTCTCTCTCATCCTAATTCCACCCCCACAGTAGCTTCAGGTGTGCTGGATCTTCATTTTTTAAAGGATATTGTGTGGTCTAAATCCTATCCCTTTCCACTTAACTCATACTTTTCTTTCTTGCCTGCCTGCCTGCTCTCTTGCTTGTTTGGAGACAGGAGTACCACCTGTGGCTGTTACAGATACTTAACTAACCTTCAGACAACAATGTTATAGTTCCCTCAGTCCTGACTTACAAGAAAAAGGAAGCTTGTATTTTTTTTCTTTTTAAGGAAAAAGCCTCTAAAATCCCTCTTGCAAGTGTTAAGGTGTTGAGGCTATTTTTGTGAGCATATTTCCTCCTACGAGGATGTTGAGCTTACTTCCATTGTAGTTGAAGTTACTTGCCGATTCGATCATAAACACTCAACAACAGAACCAACTGTTCCAAGGAGCAACTGTTTAAAAGTTATCAGGAGCAACATGCAGAAATACATTTATTCACAATCTACATATTAAAGTAAATCTCAGCTATGTCAGTAACCCTGAATATCACTCAGCCAGGTGAAACAAAGCATGACATTCAGATGATGTTGGAGGGCTGGCAAACTTAAGAGCAGCAAATTGTAAACCGAGCAAGTTTGGTATAGGATCATTAGACAGCCTGAACAAAGAACATGCATCTTGCCTCATGTTTAACACATGGCCTTCTTTCCGAAACAAACTGGGTACTGTGTAGGCTGGTGCACTGATCAGACTGAAATAATCAGTGCTGTATATTCCTGCAGAACTCTTCACCCCAAAGCACTTAACTGCCATTAATGAACTAAGTCTCACAGCATCCCTGTGATATTGGTATGATTCCTAATGTGTAGACAGGAAAAGCAAAGGTGCAGAAAAGGTTTTGAGAACTGAGCAGAGTCATACAGCTTTGTTCATCTTAAAAGCCACCGTTAGGAAATGCAAAACACATTTGCCTTACTTTCCATGATGTTTGCACATTCAGTGGCTGTAATCTGTATGCTCTCATGTTCTATTTAATTGTATTGTTTGATATAGGAAGATTGTCAGAAGGTATGTAGTTAAACAAGCTAAGCTTGTTGGCTTCCATTTTCATTGATACCCTAAGGACTACACAACACAACAAATATCCCTCAAATTGGTTCTGTCAACTTGATAACAACAACAACAAAAACATCTTATTAATTTATAGTTTTAGCAGGTTTAACAAAATTGATAGACACATTGAATAAGGGAACATCTCTACCAATTTGCAGGACTTCTCTGCAGACAGACAATTACAGGGGATCTAGGATTCTGAAAAGGGTGTGCAGATGGTATGACACATCATCACACAAAATACATTTGTCTCTGCCTAAAGACAAACTAGAAGCTTTACTAATATGCTATGGAGCTAGCACTATATTAGTCAGTGAAGATGAAAGCAAAAAATATATATATTTACTTGAATGTGCACTAATTTGCTACTTTACATATAAAATTTAAAAAAAGAAAACATAAAACTAAGTAAAAATAGTCAGAAGATATTATCATTAGTTCTGTTGTCATTACAGTTATATGTACACATCTTATTCAGATTCATAAAACAAAATCTTGAGCATCTTGACAGTGCCTCCAATTCTTCACTGTCAGCCATTTCTGGATCAAGGAATGGGAATTACAAGATGTCACAAACAAGTTCCTTGTGACAAACCCCACTTATCAACCTGCTGGCTTTGAACTATAATGGCAAGAGCGGTCCCTGCTAAACAGGTTCAGGACAGGCCAAGGCCCCTGCACAGCCAACCTTCACTGCTGGGGCCTTAGTGCTAACCCACCGTGCACTTGTAAAGAGATGCAAACTATGCTGCACATCACCAAGGAGTGTCCCCTCTACAAACTAAGAGGCGGATTAATAACTTCGCACTCAGTTAATGAGGAGGCTATTGCTTGGCTTCACAGATTTGCATTCACTAAATAAATAATAAAATTAAGCCATTTCTACACCCGAATTAATATTACCAAATCCAAGTTAATTTTTTTTTAGCAGAAGAAAGACCTTATCCTCAGGAATGGCTAACACAGCAAAACTGCAGAAGAAAGGATCATCTGAATAGTGGAACACCAAGACCATGAAAAGAAAAAAAAGATAGGAGGGTTATTAACACCTGTGGAGGAGAGAGAGAAAAGCCTGAATCATGGCTCATTATCATGTCTCTGAAGTCAGCTGAATTAAAGGGGGAGAGGGGATGCAAGTTGCACACCCTGGATCCAGCATGGAGACAACACAGAGAACACTGATCAGGGCAGGTCCAGGGGTCTTGACATCCTCCCTGCTTTCTTGTCAGTTTCAGCTGTTCATAATTTTAAATCATTTCTTGGCCCCAACCCCGGCTACTAGATATTACAAAGATACTCATTACGACTAGTATTTAACATTATTTACAGATTCTCCCTTCAAAATAAAGAAACATGATCACTGGAATTCCTCTGGGAAGCTGCCAAAGCAGCTTACAAAGTGTTTTACTCAAAGAAAATTTAAATTCTCTATTTTGAGTGGGGTGGATTGGAAATGAAGGTGGTGAACAACAGCTTTCATTACAGTTCTTTGCTAACTTCCCCTAGGCTGTGGTTTTACTCCTTTACAACTTTTACTCCTCTGTTTTCAATGTTACATGGAAAGACTCTAGCTTCCCCTTCCTTTAGATATCAATGAGGAGCAGTTGGAAGGAGTATTACACAATGGTTCTTCAGTAGCCCTTGCCCTCAACTCGGAAATAGTACCCTTGGAGAGAGAGAGCTATCCCCAAAAAAGTCAATCATGGAACTGAGAAAGGGAGGGGAAAAAATTAAGTCAACCTCCTGTCTTTGGGGTGAATGATTCTTTACAGCCCCCAAGAGATAAAGTAGTAGCGAGTCTATGGGATTTAAGTGGATGGCTTTCCTGGGAATGAGTTCTCAAACTTATAAATCTGCACACAGGTATATTACTCATTTAATGATGCAATAAAGATGGCAAATGAAACTTCATGCACACCCTTTCCTAGAGCATCTCTCAGATTTAAGGAGTCTTCCCTGTGATTTGAAAATTTAAAGGATATGTTGTTGGCTTGTTAGAAAATATCCATAAGAAATTAATCTCATTCACTCTCTTACACTTTGAAATAAACCAAAAGCTTCCTCTGCTTGAAATGCACACACAAATTCAAGATAGTGTGTCATGAAACAGCAAATACTATGTATTGTGTACAAGGAACTCGCTGACTTGCCTCACTTAAGCTCGCAGCTCTTTTAAGATCTACACAGAGCCAAAACCACATTATTATTTGGAATACAGTTTGGGATTGTGACGGTATCAGTGCAAGCCAAGGTTGAAAGAGCAACTAATTTATTTTTGTCCTCTTCTATATAATGTCAACCATTAGCTCTCTACATTTTGAGTCAGACCAGGTGGCTTCATATTACATCACCACATTTGAGCTGCTACAAGAGCATAAATTGAAATCCAAGCTTGCCATGGTACAATACAACGGAAGGCAAGAAAAAGAAGGCTATTTTAAAAAACGGAAAAAGAAGAAAAACAGAAGAGAAAAATCATGCCCGTCAGAAATGGAGCTACTTGATGCTCAGTAATCGCATATATGGTCACATGTACAAGAAAAACAGTGGCCATAAGCACAAAACATCCATGGTTTATAAATACTGTAATAGCGACCAACTGCTTAACATCTGCTTGATCTGCATTATTTTATTTGCTTTGAAGAACACAGAAATCAATAAAAGTGGAGTTCCCTTTTAAATGAATGGATAGGCTTTCCAGCCAGCTAGCTTCCTCGACACACTGCAAGCTTTCAAACTAACATAGGCCTCTGTGCCATTCAGTCTCTTTCAAACCCACTGCTGTCCTTCATCTGAAGAGGCCTGGATAGGCCAAAAGCTTAAAATTACTCTACGTCACTAAATTTGCTCAGGTTAACACACTGTTTCAAAGACCACTCAACCATATCTGGAGTACAACTGCCAAATTTTCTTTTGTTTTAATCCTTTTCTTCAGCGATATTTCTTAAGACAATACATACGCACGTGACAATTTTCGTTATTTTGATGTTCAAGGGACCTAGAATAAGATGCCAACTTATCCAAGCCCCACCTTAAGAGGAGGGTCTTTACCCAAATACTTAGCCTAGGTGAATGGTCTAATAGAAAGGTTAACCTAAGCAAACAATAGCATCTAAAATATAAAAGGCTGAATTCATGGAGGAAGATATTGCCAAATTGACTTCCAGAGAGTAGGGAGCTCTCCACCTGGTCACAGATGCACACATCCTTCTTCACCTGTAGAACTGCTAAGGGAGCTCTCTTTTCACCAGTCAGGCCCCTGTCTGTGTTATCAGCGCTCAGTAACTCTTTATTCCATTAGGCTGGAACCTGACATGCCAAGCCAACAGGAACAGGTGCAAAGCATGAAGGGCCAATGAACCCAAGAAAACCGTGAATGGGGTTAGGATTCTAAAAGTCTGCCTTTGCTTCCCTACCTAAGTGGCAGAAATAAAACTAATGTTTAAAATGCATCAATTTAAAACAAGGTTTAAGAACCAGGATATCAAACTGTCTTCCTTGCATCTAAAAACTACATGAAATTAGAGCAGCACCTAGTTTTACACACCATGCCACAGACCAGGACAACGGAAGGAGCGTAACGGTGCCAGGGCCACTGTCCCTTTTGTCGCTCTATGGTGCCCATCCTAAAGCAAAAGCAGCAATGCTGATCAAAGTCAATGGGAGTGCTGCCCACCTGGGGCCCCCACTCCCACCTAAGTAGCGGCTCAGGATAACATTGTTTCATTATGAACAGCAGGTTACCTCATATGAGAGCAAGGTATCTGAGCACCAGAACTAAGCACCCCAAAGCCCTTCAGGCAACCGCCACAGGTCCCTCGCGCCAGCCCCGCTCAAATCCAGGGGCCTGGCCGTAGGTTACCTGCTCTGCTCCATAGACCGTGGCAAACTGAACGAACTCCTCTATCCGGACAAAGCCGTCCCCATCGCGGTCCAGGGCATCGAAGACGGCTCGCAGGCGAGGCCCCTCCTCGGGGCAGGCCGGGGGCTCGCCGGGGGCCCGCTCGGGCTGGCAAGCAGCGCGGGGGGGCAGCGGGTCCATGTCGCCGCCCAGCCGGGGGCC